CTTTACCTCAAGGGAACAACCAAACTAGTATTAATAATACTGACATTACCTCTAATGCTGACAATATTATTGTTGAAGAAGATATTAATGTTCCTACTAAAGAATTGAAAGGTTGGAAAATATTTTTATTTTGGTTTCCAACAATGTGTGATATTTGTGGTACTATGGTATGTAACTATTATCACCATCATTAATTACTATTTATCAAATTTTACTATTGGTATAATATCAATATTTTATTATCAAATTTACTATTTATTATTACTCCGCTTTCCCTCACACTAAATTCTCTAAATATTAAAGTTAATGAATGTTGGGTTGATATATACTACTGCATCAGTTTATCAAATGCTTCGTGGAGCAGTTGTATTATTTACTGGAATATTTTCTGTATTATTTCTTCGAAGACATTTATATCCTTATCATTGGTTTTCACTTTTACTTGTAGTATTAGGTGTAATAATTGTTGGTATGAGTAGTGTATTATTTTCACCAAAACTTAGCAGTGATTATGATGATTTCAATGATAATAGCATCATTAAACAAAACAATGATCAAGAAGATAAAGATGTATCAGATGCAATTTTAGGAATATTTTGTATTGTATTTGCACAAGTATTTACTGCATCTCAATTTGTTATTGAGGAAAAAATCATGAAAATATATCATGTCAAACCATTGAAAGCTGTAGGTTATGAAGGAATTTTTGGTTTGGGAACAGTGATTTTTGGAATGATCATATTACACTTTACCATTGGCATTCATCAACCAGATGGTTATTTTAATATACCAACTGGTTGGAATCAAATCATCTCTTATCAACAAATTTGGATTACTGGGATTGCAAATTGTTTCTCTGTTGCTTTTTGCAGTTTTTTTGGTTTGTCAATAACAAGATCTATTAGTGCCACCTCAAGATCCACTATTGAGACTTGTACTATATTATTCATTTGGGTGGTTTCTATAGCATTAGGTTGGGAGGTTTTCTCTTGGTTACAAGTTTTTGGTAAATATTTAACACATAAAGTGCTGAATCATCATCATTATATATATTAATTATATTAATTAATTATATATACTAATACTTTTATTATAATTTAGGATTTATTAGTTTAATACTTGGGACATTTATCTTTAATAATGTCATGCGTCCCCCACCATGTTTCTCATATCCATTAACACCAACCGAAAATCAACCATTATTGCCTGCCTGAAGATGAACATATCTAAATTTTATTAATATCATAGAAAAAAAATTTTTTTAGTATATACATAAACAATATTTCTTAGAAAAAAATTATAAATTAATCTTTATTTCTTTAATATTATGACTAATTTAAAATAAGGAAGCAAAGGGTAAGATGTACTTTTTTTTTGTAACTTGGTGGTGGATAATTTATTTTATTAAGGAGAGATTTGAATTGTTGCTTTGTGCCCACGCGTCTAAAAATTTGTCCGTCAGTATTAGTATATATTATTTTAACTGTTATGTCAAACCTTGGACTATAATTCACGATTTTTAAAATTCATTATGTGTCCTGTTCATCCGCTGTAACAAGGTTTGACTGTATTTCATTCTGGATAAAGAGGGTATAATTGCTTGCAGGTTGCCAATCACTACTGGAAATAAGCAAACAAAAAAAAATAAATCGTGGTTGTGGTTGATTGTTGGTTATGAGAAACGTAAGTGTATATACATTATATCCTGTAACTCTTATTCCTTCCTCTTTAGCTATGGTCCCCTTTGTGCGAAGAAATTTTCTTTATCTTCCATGATTCCTTTTTGAATTCAATGATTCATCTTATTTAATTGAAAAAAAGAAAATAAGAACAGTACAAGATAATGGGAGGTAAAACGAATAAAATTATTATGATAGTAATAGAATATAAATAAATCAAGTTTGGGCGACGAAAATATTTTGGAGTGTAAAAAGTATTTCGTCAAACGGGTCACATGTGACGAAATGTGACGAAAAGTGATAATGTGTTGTGTAAAGTCAAATTGTGATAAAGATGACGAAAATATAAAATTTAATTTATTTAGATTTAATTAAAACAAAAATTTAATTTTTTACATCGTAAATCATGTTTCTTGGAATCCAGATAAAGAGATGGTATCAAAAACCACAACTATAATTCCAAAATAGAAAATATAATATCTTTGACTTTTAGCAACCAAATAAGATATAGACAAACGTAACATATAAAGAAACAATAGCAGACTTTCCAACAAAAGTGGACCTATCAAAAAGAAGTCATATTGAATAATATAAAACACAAACCGGTGGCTATTGACAGTATTTATAAGATTCGTTAATAATTTCTTTTATTTATTTTGATAGGTACTTCGTTCAAGTTGCACCACCGTCAACCGTTTAATATTGACCGATTAAGGTTTTGTTTTAACCGGCGTTTAATCAATTCGGTTAACCAGTTAAGAGCAGTAGTAGGCACCGTGTTATATGTAAAAAAAAAATTTTAAATTTTATTTTAATAATAATAATAATGGTCGCGTAACAATTCTACAACACTGATCCTTTTTTTTTTTCGGAAAAAGGGAATTTAATTAATGCAATGTTGTATACATGCCCTTTAATAATTTATTAGTATTAAATGATATCAACTAAAATATTTTGACGTTGAATTCTATCACTGGTAAAGAAAATAAACATAGTTAACATTTGTTAAGGTGTACGGCTTTACCAAAAGTTTGACCTTTATTAACTAAAATCGTTCACCTTTACACAAACATTTACTGCAGTCAAATTTGAATTTTTTACCAATGTATCTAATTTAAATAATTTTTATTTTCTAAAATAATAGTGGTCGCGTAACTATTACCACATAAAAATCATCTTTGTAATTTTTTTCTTTGGCTCTTTGGAAAGCAGGTAGGACCATTTTTTATATTTAAATCTGTGTATCACAATTCAAAACTCTGAATTCAGGGAAAATTCAAAACAGCAACCCAGGTGCAAACTTTATTTTAGAGAGAGGTGATATCGAAATCATACGAAGATGTGTATATTTGTAGAGTTATTAAAGTGTTATTATCTTGATTTCTTTCATAATTGTAATTTTCGGTTTGGCTTTTTTAAATATAAAGAACTGGAAATTTTCGATTTATTCAGAGCTTTAAAATTGTTAGTTGTTTATTATATATTGTAATTATTGATTACAAAGATCATATTGTTAATATTAATAATAGTGACGAAGGACCAAATAAACCACCTAACCACAAATATTTATCAAGTTCTTTTACATCAAGAATCAAATCTTCTACCAAGATCTATCTAATAATGTAGAGTTTAAATTCTATGGCAATCCTAATAAACCTTTTAATCTTTCATTATTTTTGTATTTATTCTGCAAGCGCGAACTTAATATTGTAATAAAATAAAGCTCTATAATAAATAATAAAAAACTTTTAAGAATATAATCGTTGTTTTCATTTTTCGTTTAAAGGCAACTTTTATTGCTTTAGTGAATAAGTAGAATAAGTAAGGGTAAGATTGAGACTAATGTTGGTTAAACTGGTAAGCGCTAATAACGCGATTTGCTTTGATGGGGTAGGCAAAGGTTAGGACTAACATCCATTGAATATTAAAGACGGTTAGTGGAGTTTTGCCCAAATTTTAATTGGAAATACTGGTAGTTAATCTGCTTATATTGTTTTGTAAATAAACCAGAGAATTTGCAATTGGTCATAAGTAAATAAAAGGAACTTTACAGAAACTTTTGAGCTTAGAAACTGGGCCATATCTAATTATTTAGTGTGCTTACAGATTTGCTGAAGCTTTCTAGGCGCAAGAAAAAGGCAGTAAGAGAAAACCAAGATAAATTTGTAAACTTATTAATTTACAATCACCGAATTATTATGTATTGACTGCTTACAAGTGTAACCAAAAGTTGAGCCATGTGTTAAATAATCGGTGTTAACAGAAAGCCCCTACGTCCAAGAAATCAGTTACCCTTTCATATTCATTATTCATTAGAACCATTATATATAAATTTTATCATTTATAGGTTTTTTCAATTATTTTAAAATTGAAAAAAGGAGGATTCCAAGCTTGGTCCTGTAGTGACAGATGAAGCAGATTATATTTGAGTAAATCTGTTAAATAAACATCAAAAATAGTTTGAAATATAATCTGATCATGAATAACTTATGAAAGGAGAATAAAGAAATTTGATCACTTTTCTCTTATGGAATCATGGCGGACACAGGTACAAGAGAAGATAAGAAAACATTTTTAGTATGCCTCTCACATTGTAATATAATCAAAGAGGAACCATACTTACAATTCTGAACACGAAAGATTCAGATCGGTATGGTTCAGCAAATGTACAGTATCTATTTTTGTGCTAGAATCGTTTGGATCATTCAAACCGGTTCCAAACATCATCTATATTGGCTTACTGATAACACAAGTTACACGTAAGGATCTAAAGGTGGAGGCTGTTGTTAATTTCAATTAAAATCTGGAACAAATGCATTAGAATTCATGCGGTTTACATGTTGTTCATATTACAGCAACAACATTTGATAATGCTGCTTTTGGAATATCAATACTCCTCATGCCTTCTTTCCTTGATAAATCTTGCAACGAATCTAATAAAGATAACCCATTGAATATGAAAAATGAAACCAGGTAAATAGAGTGCTTAATAATAGATTTAAAAATTGGAATTTAACTTATATTTGTTACCTGGTGAAGAAGATAAGCCATGAATTCAATATAAAACAATTACTTTCATAACTATATTAAAAGAAAGAGCATTATTTAATTAGTTTTTAATTTGATGTCATTTTCAGAGAAATGACATTTCAAACTCTTCCGTCTTCCCTTCTCGAGTTTATGAATATTTAAAAAAGCTGTTTGACACATCAAAACTATATCAATGTTGAATATTTTTCCTTTAACTATTTGACTACCTGCCGTAAATCCTAATAAAAATGAATTTTGGTTTTCGTTATTAAGGCTAATAAATTCTTCGTATTATCCATCCATAAGATGCTCAGGAATGCCTTTTTCGTAATCTTCTCCATCAGATTTATATATTCTATCATCTTGTTGAATTGTCTCATTTGTTTGATAACTATCTACAAAATCATTTAGAGCTATTCTTAAATCAAATTATTATTTTCTTACGCAATTCTTTTTTGTTGGAAAACTTGTAAAAATCGTTTTTAAAATCTCTATTTTCTGAGTTATTAAAACAAACTTTGAATTAAACTTCTATTTAGCTCCCTTCATTGTGAAGTAATGGAGGTTATAAAAAAGCTACGTTTCGAATTTTTTAACCCAAAAAAAGATCATTATCAATTAAATATTGTCATCATAATCAAAAAACGTTTTCACCATCAAAGAATATGCATACAAAAGCATCATTTCCCAAATAAAATTCTTTCGTAAAACAAAAGAAATAATAATAATAATAATAATAATATTTTATTATCACAAAACCACATAATCGTCAGCGTTCACATTCAAGTCATAGTTAGAATCACCTAAAAATATCAATATTATAATTCGCTTCCGAATATTTTGATCTAAAAATTCTCTACTTTTAATTGTCAGCAAAGAAAACATGAAAAAGAGCTCAATGCACCATTTTCCGTGTCAAAGAAAAAAAAAGTCTTCTTTACCACCTTCTTTACGTCAAATACAAATACCAAGACAACCAAAGAAGACATCAACGACAAGAACAACAATTACAATAAAAACGACAATAGTGCTACAACAATTCCTATACCAAAATATGATAATTAATAATAATAATAATTATTATTATTATTATAATGATAATGAAAATGTCGAAATCGAAATGATGGTGATAATGACGAAAAAGGAAATAGTGATAATGATAATGATAATATTGGTAACTTCTACCAATTACTTTCAGCCATCATGTCCATTATATTGAATCTTGTAAGCTCATATTTTAAGTTGTTCAACTTACAACAATTTTCAGTCGAATTATTCAAATAAGACCTGGTAAAAATCGAGGTAAGGGGTAGCTCTTTGAACAAGGCTTCCTAGTAAAATAGCAAATACTTTATTTGAATACACTTTATTTGAATAGAAACCCTATCTTCATAAAATAAATTTGAATGCTTATATTAATATAATATGCCATAGCAAATTATATATATATTATAATTGATCTTATAAAGCAATATAAATAAAATAAATGATTTTTAATGTTTCACCTAACGGAATTTTCATATCATTTGCACCGATAAGACCAGTGGCTTAGTTGTACGATTAATTATTTGTCTCAAAAAGGAAAAAATTGAGTTTTATTATTTTAAATTTATAAAAGATATTAAGTTAAAAATGTCGTATGATAAATTATTATCATCATTATCACAAGGAAGAAAGGAATTTGTATGTAAAATTGATAATGAAATGTATGATAATGCTCTGGGTAATTCTGATAGAGGAAGTAGAAAAGATTTTTTTTTTTCATTAGTCAAGAAAAATGAGGAGCTTTCTGAAATTGAAAAAGAACATTGCAGGGAAAGGTTTATTTATCAATTTGAATTAGAAAGTGCAGTGTATAAAAAAGGCAAACGAAAAAAATGTAACAAGTGTAAACTGAGAAGATACTCTGACAGATTCTGTGAAGGTTGTATTAGCTTACAATTACAGAATCTTTTTAATAATTGGACATCTGGAAATGACACAATTAATAAATTTATTCAACAATGTCAAATAAAATCATCTCTGCCAAACTATATTTTAGAATGGATACCTTTTGAGCAATTTAAAGATGCAACAAAATTAACTGAAGGTGGATTTAGTTCAATTTATAAAGCTATATGGACAAGAGGGAAAATAATTGATTATGATGAAAATAAAAGAGATTTTAGTTATTTAGGAAGGCAACATGTAATATTAAAAAGTTTAAATAATTCAAGTAATCCAGGAAAAGCATTTTTTGATGAGGTTGGTATTTTTATTTTAAATAAAATAAATAAAGTTGTATTCTATAATACTAATTGGTTTTTAATTACAGGCAATTAATTATTGCAAAATTAAATCATCTATGATTGCCACTTGCAATGGTATAACTAAATTCCCAGATAATGGAAATTATGCAATAATTTTAAGTTATTATCAAGAAGGAAATTTAAGGGGTTATTTACAAAAAAATCATTCCAATTTGACATTAAAAGATAGAATTGCAATTTTTAGATGGTTATGTGTTGCATTATATGATATGCACAAAAAAGATTTAATTCATTGTGATTTACATAGTGGTAATATATTATTGGATGGAGGTGTTTGTTATATTACAGATTTGGGTTTATGCGGACCAGTTGATGAAAGTCATCAAATAAAATATATGGAATTGTATCATATGTTGCACCTGAGCTACTTAGAGGCACAAATAATACAAAAAACACAAAGGAAACAGATATTTACAGTGTTGGGATGTTAATGTGGGAAATATTTGCAGGCCATCCACCATTTGATGATAGAGCTCATGATCATCATTTAGTTTTTGATATATGTGA